ATGGGTTATTAGTCGTGCTGGGAGTGTGTTTTATCAGTTCAATTCATTATAATAAAGAATTTCTATTTTTCATTTTGCGTTAAAATAATCATTTTCATGCAACTTGTTATTTTTGCCCTCTCGATTTTCATACGGAAGAAGTCTAACCAAAGATACAGGAGGTTGATCTTGATGAATAATTCTCGTAATTTTTTTTGCTCTGAAAAACAGATAATATCAATTGACGGGATTTCCATGCCTACATAATTCCAAATTTGATTCTTAGACCGTGAGCGTTGCTACAAAATATGTTGAGTTTCACTGTTGGTTTCTTTATCCGCTTTGCGCAAGTGAAAAAAAAATTGACCGAAAAAATTTTACATTTACATCATCGATCCCCAAACACTTCCATAAATTTTAGTGATGCAGATATGTGGCCAGATTCCAGAAGAACTTCGCCACATTGCTAATCAGATCAAGTAAAAAGATCTTTTTAACGTAAAAGCATATGAACATATCTCAATACTTTATTGTATTACATACTCCCAACGACACGCTCCTATGCGGAATTGAAGTCCTTGACATACTCGCCAGATACATGACCTATGAATTCCAGTTATGCGTTGTGCTTCAGTTAAAGATGGAAATTCTTGAGTAGAGTTATCATCAAAAATCTGCTTGACAGCACGTTGGTTGCAATTACCCGAGTCCGAGTTGTACCGCATGCTGAGAATTCTCTTTCTGTGTGCACCATTCAAGGTTAGATGCTCTATTATTAGTACGATTACCATCAATATGATTTACATATTCTTTTCCTTCTTCTTGGGGCAAAATGCTAACGCTACCAAACGGTGAACACAATGTTTTTCTCGAGCGATTCTAAGATATCCTGCACTTAGAGATCCTTGAGAAATTAAACCATTGGGAAACCTAACTTTACCTAGGGACGAAACTCTGAATTTCTGTGAATTAAGCTCTATTTATCTCCATTCTTCATTAGAATTTCGTTCTATGTAATCTTCATAATACTTCCAACACCAGCCACCGGCGGTATTTTGTTTCCTGCTACAACATTCTGAAATGCAACTTCCATTAATTTCAAGTGTATTACTTGCGAGGCGAATCGAATTCCAAACCCGAACAACATCCCCATCCAATGTCTTTTGCACGACTCGTCTGGAAGATGTTTTATTATCACGGTTTGGAAAAACTTTATGTTCAGCATTCTCTTTGGGAGTTACCCATTCCAAATAAACAACTCGATTATCATGTCTAATTCCATTTTTATGGTTAATGAAAGGTTTATTTTCTGGGTTAGGAATAAATGCTTGTGCAACTACAGTATGAATAGCAATATTTTTATAGACTTCATTAATCTTAAACACCATTCGTATATAACCACTCCTTTTGCAGGCATTTAGCCTTAAAATCGTACCTTTTTTATTCTTTACTCGCCCGAGATTGGATACTAATTCATCAGAATCTGTTATAGGCAACCAAACTTTCATTATATCTTTGTCATTATCATACATCTTATTTTTAAACTAAGATATAGAGGAATTTGGAATAATTGGATTACAGGTCGCAGGGTCTTCGTTACGATTATCAGTACTTATCAGAGATAGTGCGAATATTGATTATCACTTACATGAGTCGACGATTCCTGTCCAGCATTCAAATTCTGTTATAGTAGCAAAATTTATAGAAACTTTATTGATAGTCCGTAATATTTTGATAGTTAATATGACATTGTTACCACATGGGTCCACACCAAAGTCGGAAAGACAAAAAGAAGCCAGTTCAACCGTAGATTCAGAATAGTTATTATGTTTTTTTTATTTATATATGTATATATCAATAAAGTCATATATTCACACAATGAAAAATTAAATCATGGTTTACCCGATGTTTGTAACATACCCGAAATAGATCATCCCAGATATATAACGACGCATTATCAATATACTGTATACAGTATATATGCCCCTACCAATCAACAATTAATTACCACCACTATCTATGCTTCTTTTTTTTTTGCAAAAGTAAATGCTATTTGTCTGAGTAAGACTCGGCTCCTCACTTTATGAGACAGCTTGTCGAATGGTGTCGCGTTTGATTTCTCCACCAATAGTAATACACATAACTTTTTTGTTTCATGTTTTTCAGTTTGCTGTGGGGATTAAACAAGTAATGGATGCACTAAATAGTAAATGAAACAAACCAGTATTATCGAAATCCAAAAACAGAATTTATGAAGAAAGGAGCAATGACACATAAAGAAGACAAGGCTTGAGGACCCACTAACCAATCAATTGATGAAGAACCCATTACACCTGACTCTGACAACCAAGACACCACATTTAATTTTAACAATAGTTAAGGTGAATGAGATGAGCTTCATTACAACAAAAGACTAAATATATTCTATGACCTAAAAAAAGTAAGTTGAGGTTATATTTTATGGTTTGACATATATGAAGCAAAGATTAGAAACAGATATTGTCTTTTGAGGCAAGCCTAGAATCCAACTATTTCTTCTTAGTACAGTACAAGCCTAATACAACTATGAAAAACTTCACTTCATATTTTTTGATATCTTCTTGGATGTGGTAGGTAGTTGTATGTAAGATGTAGAAGTTTCAGTAAACTTTTGTGATTCTCTTATTAAACTATGTTTGTGTATTGAGAATTTCCAAGCTATACTATAGGCATCCATCAAGAAAAATCAATTTCTTTACTACATTTATATCTGGCTCATGTCAAAAAATAATCATTATTTTTTCAAAACTTGACTATTAAGCTAATTTTTTATCATTATATAACATTTTGTTTTTTAAGCACAAAATTTAACTTGAAATATATTTATCTACTGAAAGTCAATCCCATCAATATATTCAATCTTAATAGGTCTCAAAAGATTTCCTTATCAATATTTTTTAAGTCAATTAATTATTTAAATACTACTACTATTATGAATATGAAGTTTATTTTTCTTGAGAAACTTATAATAAAAAGATAACAAAAATGTATTGTTAAATAATGGATTATTTTTTTCTAGTACTATAAAAGCTAATACCTTCATACTCAACTTAAATATTCTTTTAAACCTTGATTTGAAAATTATAGCAGATACTACTTGAAATTAATTATATAAAAACAGCACAAATGAAAATTTAGACTCTAGCAAATCTTTACTATTACAAATATCAACAAAATTTTGTATTTATTATAATAGAAAATCTTTAGTAAAACTAAAAGTGAATTTAAAGTTCCAGTTGGTATTGATAAATATCATTATCGATAGGGCTCCTAATGGTACAACTTTGATACCTGTTTAATATCAGTTTGATACTTAAATTTACTATAAATTTATATGGGTGGATCACAATCCATATATTAAATTTATTATAGATCAATACTATTTCAATATCATTTCAATACCAATTTGATACTTTTTGAAGCCATAGTAACCAATTTATCAGTTTTGGTATTGGTATTAATTTTTAAGTTTAAATATTGAATTGAAATTTTTGATAAAATACTGATCGATTTTGGTACTTTTTAAAAATATCGATCGATAAAGTATCAGTTGATAAAGTATCGAATAGTTTCAGTATTTTCTAAAAGTAACAATAAATATTAAGCAAAGATTTTTATAGAAGTTATACCAAATTATTAATATATAAATGTATTATAAAGAAAATTATTTTATTGTTATTAATTATTTTTTTTAAAATGAAAGAATTCGATACTTATATTAAATTTTCAAAAGAAACCACTTTTACAAATTTTAAACATAAAGAATTTCAAAATAGTTTTGATAGTAATAAAATATTAGATACCAAAATAACTAGTACTTTAACAAATAGTGGTTCTAAAAAATATTGAAGCTGGATTTGAACCTATTTTACTTTTAATAAAAATTTACAAAAACTTCAATGCAATTATTGTAATCAATTTATTTAATCAAATAAAGACAGTACTACTGATATGACCAAACATATTCAAAATAAACATTCTTGCAACTTGAAAAAAACAAATAGCAATTAACATTAGAAAAAACAATACAAAATAAATTAGTTTTGATAAGTTATATTAAATATTTTATTAATTTCAAATTAAAAAATATTAATTTTATTTTTAGACAAATAGTGTAGAAAATTTTTGACAATTACTTATAAAATGGATTGTAGTTAATGATTTTCCTTTTACAAGTGTTGAATCTTCTGATTTTAAAATATATCTATTTTATGAAATGAAGCTCTAGTTTCTTTAGCCAACACAGTTAAAAATAATATAATAATATTCATTAAAGAAAATAAAAAAAAAATACAACAATTTTACAGGTAATATATTATATTTAATAAACAAAAATTTATTGAAATTATATTTATATTTATATTTTTTATAGAAAATACCAAGTAAAA